AATATATTTTATATCTGAATTTATTTATTTGTTTAATTTGTGGAATTTTATAAGGTATAAATTTATTTTTATTATAATTTTATAGATTTTAAAAGTCTCTCTGGGTCAATGGATTCTTGGTCTTCGTCAGTCTCAAATAAAAGTCATAAAGTCTGGTCCTTTCCAGGAGCTTCATTTTTACAACAAAGAGGTTTTGGTTGGATGATGGAGATTGATGAGAGTGATGATGAAGATAAACAGCCAATATTGTAAGTGAATTTTAAGTTAATTCTTTTATCTTGATTTTTATTCTTTATTATCATGAGTCAATATACAAGGAATTTTGTTAGAAGAGTTTGAAACTTAAATAGTTATGATTTAATAATTTCTCAATTTATTTATAAATGAAATTATAAACATTACGGAGATATGAAAATATGAAATAATAATAAATAAAAATAAATAATTAATAAAACAGAAGTTTCAATAAAAAATTAATACAATTTAACAATGGTATGTAAATATTTGAATTAACATGTGAAAGAGAAATTTAAATAGCATAAAAACAATAAGTATATAAATAAAAATAAGCAATTAATAAAGGAACATAAATAATTAAATATCAAAAAGTGACTGCTAGGCATTAGAAAGGGTATTGCACCATGATGATTAATGCATGTGAATTTTCTGTATGCTTTATAAGTTTCTAACTTCTCTAGGTGAGAAAGAGCATGTACTGTACATGAGCTACGCCTGATGAGTTTTACTTCTTCCCAATTTATCTGTTATCCTGTTGATTATACTAAGAAACACACCTGATTTCTATTTGCTGCGTTTTTTTCTTTATTCCAAATGTTTTCAGCCTATTTGGATAGGCCATCTTCATGCTTTTACATTCATTGTTCCAAATGGAACTAATTTGTTCGAATTTATTTCATTTGAATTTGAACGCTTTAACAACTTATGTATGTACAAGAGTAAATAAATAGATAATTAAAAATAATAACATAATGCATTGCAACTTAACAAAAAACAAAGAATTATATCAGATTTAAATGAGTCTAAATATTAATTCCTATAATCTCCAGATCATATTTTTATGGATTATTAAAACCCATACTTTTTTCAATTTTATATTTCCAAGATGTTGGTAATGCATTTGCATTACCAATGGCTTGGAAATACAAAATATCCTGTTGATGTGAATAGGCTGTCAATAGAATGTTATAGAGTTTCTTGTTGATTGTATGTTTATGCTCCCTGATTCTTTGTTGTAGATTATGTCCAGTGGCACCAATATATATAAGCTTTGTTGTAAAACATTAGTTATCTATTCAGACTGAGTAGATGCCTGATGCAGAGTTGTAATCATATGGAGCCTTATCATTTCTTAAAATTTTGAAAATGCTTGGTGTTACCTATTTTTATTTATTATATGTTTTATTCATGTATTTTTTATTTTTATGTTATTTTAAATTTCTTATTCCTATTTTAATTCAAACATCACATTCTATTTTTAAATTGTAGTTCAATTTAATTTTGAACTTGCCCCATTTTTCAACCATGTTATTGTCAACTTTCTCACATTGGGTAAGATTGACGTAATCCAAAAGCAATTTCTCATACATCTGCTGCTTCATAATTACCACAGTTTTGGCCTTGTCGGCTCTAATGAGAGTGATTCCGTTTTTTTTTTTTTTTTTTTCCATCCATCCATGGGCCTTTGATATTTTTGTTCTTAAATTGCATGCAAGAGTCAAAAGATTCTCCAACACCAAGTTAGCTAAGAGTTTAGAACTTAAGAACATTGTATTGGACTCTCCTGACATGCCTAAATTATTCGGATTTGCCAAAACGCATAAACAAGGCAAACAGATTTGTCCGGTAGTCGATAAGATTCGTGCTCCAACGCATAAACTCGAAGTGCTAATGCACACTTTAATAGCACCACACTTGGAAGATTACCAGTTCACTATATCCAATATTGTAGACCTCATAGCATTCCTCAAGCAGATTGGTACCCCCACAGTACCTCACTGTACTTGATTTTAAATCCCTGTATCCTTCAGTACTTCTACCACCAGCCTTTTGTGCCATAAGAGATTTGTTATTCAAAATTGTAGAGGATGTTAACCACCACCAGCAAATTTTGGAGTTGGTGCATTTATTGTGCTATAATTCTTTCTTTCAGTTCAAAAGTGCAGTGTATAAACAAAGAAGGGGCGTACCAATGGGGAGCCCTGTATCGGGAGATCTATGCGAACTGGTGATTAGACTGCTAGAAGAAAAAGTCGTTCCTGACCAACTCCACAATATTCTTATATATAAGAGGTACGTGGACGATATACTCATCCTATGGAAGTTTAAACCTGATATGCCAGCATTCATAGCCGCGTTTAATAACAACTCATATGGCTTAACTCTTGACCTTGAACAGGAGAGCTACACTCAAGTTCATTTTTTTTATGTCAACATCACGGTTAAAGGATCGACCATCATCACAGAAGTATACAGAAAACCACTGGCAGAGCAATTGTACATTCCTGCAGGGTCCTGTGACCCAATGCATTATAAAGTAGCAGCATTTAGCACCTTGGTCAAAAGAGCTTGCACTCACTCACCGACATCGCATGCATTTGAAACCGATATCAACACAGTTACTATTATTGCCAAACGCCATGGGTATGGTAACCTGATAACTGCATTAGCCAAAACAATGCTTCATCCCCAATGAGCAGAACGACCAGAAGCACAAGAGCAAGAAAATATGATTCATAAGGACAGAGTGCCTATCACTTATAATCCGTATTTAGAGAAACTGTACACCAAGATTGCTAGGAAGAGACAAGTCACCTTAGTCTTCAGCCATCCTACTCTTTTTCGAATGCTCAGTGATGGGAAAGATACTCCACAACAAGACATGCTAGCTGGAGTATACACCATCCCTATGAGAGATCATAGGTGTGATAAAGACTTAATATACATTGGCTCCACGAAAAGATTGTTAGGAGTGGGGCTTAAAGAGCATAAAGCAGACATCCTCCATAAGAGGCCTACAACCATATTGGCACAGTACGCCACAGACCCTGATATATAACCATTATTGAATGAGGCCAAGATAATATACACCACACACCAGCCATACCATTTGCGCTTGATGGAAGTGATTTATATACATAAAACAGCCCAAGGTAAAAATTGTATCAACAGTAAGGATGAAGTATCCTTATCGATAGCATGGCAAACTCTTATATATGACACATGACAAGGCAAAAGTTATACTTCTCTCAACTGCACATGCACAAACGATGATGAAGATTGCACGGGTTTCCTATGAAATTCCATTTCAGAATTCTTTCGAAAAAAGATATGTTCCATCAAATTTCATTTATTTTGTCCATTTTTTTTTTTTCACCCGAGGAAGAACCGTTGGTTCGAAAACATTAATGAGAGACGCACTTCGAGTTACACACCGTTTTTGGTTTTGGGTTAGAAGTAAGACTTATAACAATTTCTCAATGCCTAGTTATTTTCCATTCAACTTGTAGAATGAGATATGAAGGAAATAGATGGAATTAGTGATATTTTACACATTATTAATGAAACTAATAAAATATCAAACAATTGTCATAAAATATATATTATCACAATGAAACAGTAGTAAATAATCTCATTATTTGCTATATTGCTATATTAATACATCATAATTAGTTAAATTCACATTTATCAACATACTTCATTTCCCTGGACTTCTAATAACTGCTATTTAACCTTGACTTGATAGAATGAAAAATTAGAAAATGACAATATAAAACAAAATAGGTAAATAATTGCCTGTTAAGGTGATTCTACTTTTGATAATTTTGATAGACAAAGTTACTAACTGTGGCATTTATTAACATTAATTAAGTAAAAAAAAATGTACTTTCATTACAATACTTGGTAAACTTTATATCACATATAAATTTATAAATTTTCATTCTTTGAGACTGTATTGATTATATAAATGAAATTATCCCAATGATGGCTGCAGAAATAGCCAAAAACATCTGAAAAATAAAGAATGATATTGAACAGTTTTTATACAAATCTTTTAAACTAGTTTTAGAATTGTAATAAATGAAATTATTTAAATCACCATTACTCTTCAACATTTATAAATGTAAAACCAAATTTTTATACTTAACTATATGAAAGCCACAAAAACATTATAATCAAATATAATATTTATAAGTAATAAGAATAGTTATGAGAATTAAAAATTTATGCATTTTAAAAATTAAATATATTTGACTAATACAACCATTTATAATTTGAAACCACAAACTTAGTAACAATATTAATAGACTATGAAACTTTTTTGTTGGTAATCAACTTATATAATATTTATATATAGTTGTAATTGTGAGAAAATGTTTACATAATATTATTACTGTTGATATATGTGTATATGTATGTGTGTATGTTTAGACTCAGTTCAGAATTTTTGCGGAATGGTGGCCACACAGTTATTACATTGTTTTTTTTCTGCAGACACTCATGGACAGAAGATGAAAGAATTTATTTTGAGTTGGCCAGTTACCATAGATACTTGTTTGCAGATTCAGATGAATCAAAATTTTTAAATTACTTCAGAATTTCATTTCCAGGCTTTGGTGAATTGTATCATACTCTGAAAAATATCATGTAGAAAGAAGATACTAACATGAGACTGACTGGGCAGATGATATATCAGTACTGCTCTCTCTGCACAATTGCTACTTCTGCTTATGTGAATTATTCATAATGCAATAGCTCATAGACAATCTGTGACTGTACAACATCCATTCTGCTATGGATGCTGTGCAGCTGCAACTGACAACCAACAATGTTCTATGGCTGCAGACTTTCTGTTGAGTGTGAATTATCACATAAAATTAGTATGCCATAGCAGTTGGTGCAGCTGTTGTATGGTAACTGTGTAGCCACTGTTCTGCAGACATTTCACTTATCTGAATAGGTCTTAATTTCTAAAAAAAATATTTACTTTTAATTACTTATGATTTTTTAGGGAAGAATTAGATATTGACATGAAAGACATCTACTATAAAGTATGCTGTGTATTATTTCCTTTTCCATTTCTTGGTTTCAAAAGGCATTTGGTACGTGACAGTCCAGACTTTTGGGGTCCATTACTTGTGGTATTATTATTTTCCTTGGTATCACTTTATGGTCAGTTTAATGTAAGTATTATGTAAAATAGTGAGTTAAATTACAATTAATTTTATTTTATTTTGTGTAAGGATTTGTAAATATATTTTATGCTAAAATATGAAATATAAGTGATGATATTAATTAAATTTAAGTATTTAAACATTGTATAAATTGAATTCTTAGTTTGTACAATATTTAAATAAATTTTCTCTGCTAATATTAAATATAATTTTTTCACAATGAAGTGCTATAAATTAAGACACTTGGCAGGTTTCCTCATCTTTATTTAGTTTCCTCATTGTGTTATGAGCAGAAACAAATTGCAAAGAATGGTTTCATATCATTAAAAGAAAACAAAAAATAATTTTTTCAATCAATTATTTGTTACTAAAGTATTCTCTTTCATCATATATAGAATAAGTGACAATTTGAAATACAGGTATACCTCGAGTTACGTCGTTTGTCATTCAAAAAATATGTGGAAAAATAAAAATCAAGTTTAAGTCATTTTATTCGACTTTACGTCTGTCCGCCACAAATATTGAAGTTGTAATATTACTAGAAAAGTGTTAAAGCACATAAAATCTTATTAAAATATATACATTTACAGTAAATGTTAATATAATCATCATAAATCCTAGAGAATGAAACATGAAAACATCTGTGTTTCTGTGTTGTCGTCTTATTTAGCAATCTTTAAATGCTCAATATTGGTGTTTTCCATGGTAGCTCCAATATCTACTGTTTGGCGTCGTTGTCAGTGCCACTCGATATTGGTAAATTTAATATAAATTAGTTTATTTTCTACTCTCGCAAGATAATTTTAATAACTGTATTTGTTATTTAACCTTACAAAATCATTTTATTTTATAATGTCTTAGAGCAAATCACATTCACAAATAAAGAGTCTGCGATGTACTGTAAGCATCGCCAAAATTGTAAACATGTACAGTACATTTACAAGTATGTACTTGTAAATATACATGAATTTGTAAATTTAGATTACTTTTTTCTGTACTATATTAAAAACTAAAATTTATTTGTTTGTAAGCTTAAAATAGATTCTTATTAACCATATATTATTAAAAATGCATTTATAAATAAAATACAGAACTGGGAATGATTATTTGTAGTTTAGCCTAGTGACAAGTAAATTTGACTTACGTNTTAACCATATATTATTAAAAATGCATTTATAAATAAAATACAGAACTGGGAATGATTATTTGTAGTTTAGCCTAGTGACAAGTAAATTTGACTTACGTTGTTTTTCGACTTAAGTCGCCTCTCCTGGAACCAATTACCAACATAAGGCATTTTTTGTCGTTTTCTTTTTAAAACTTTATTACAAAGTATAGAATCAGAAATGATCTATTTTTAGATATTGAAAAATATATACAGTAGAATTCATTTAAGAAGTTCCTGCATGAAAGGTTTCCCTGCATAAGAAGTCCAAATTTTCCAGTCCCAGCATTTACACCAGTGTTTCTCAACGGGGGTGATATCGCCCCCATGTGGGCATTTTTTTATGTTGAGTGGGCGATTAGTAACAATTTATATTTTGGGGGACGAAAAACAATTTTCTGGGTGATATAGTAAAACATTATATTAAGAATAATTAGATATTTTATTTGTTATATCGTACAATAATTAAACAAATAACATTATACTAGTCACTAGTCTATTCAATGCAGTACGAATTTGGCATTAGCCTTGTCCCTCGGCATCGAAATTTTGTAGTGAAGGGGGCAATACTACGTAACGGTTTTATTGAAGGGGGCGACGATTCGTTAGAGGTTGAGAAACACTGATTTACACTATAAGATGTGTGTTAAAATTTCTGGCATAACAAGTTCCCATATAACAAGTTTTTCCATGTAAGAAATTTCAAAATATTGGTCCCATCAACAATATTTTTCCCCAAGTTTCTGTTGGAGACAAATTGTAATCTTTTTCTTCACCATAACTTTATCTGGAGTTACTTTATAAAAATAGTAAACTTTTAATAAAGTAACTCCAGTGTGATTTGCTCTAAGACATTATAAAATAAAATGATTTTGTAAGGTTAAATAACAAATACAGTTATTAAAATTATCTTGCGAGAGTAGAAAATAAACTAATTTATATTAAATTTACCAATATCGAGTGGCACTGACAACGACGCCAAACAGTAGATATTGGAGCTACCATGGAAAACACCAATATTGAGCATTTAAAGATTGCTAAATAAGACGACACCTGCACACCTGAGGTGGTTACTAATTTTGCTGGGCTCTTATTGTTTTGACCATACTCACCTATCTAGGTGCTGTCCACTAACTGTTGACATGTCCTATTGACACCAGACACGTAAGCACGTGCTAAAGTCAGTGAGTGCATCTTACTATTGTACTATGCTACACTATGCTATGTTATATTACTTGATATTGAAATAAATTCATGAATATACAAATAAATAGTTATTTTTTACAATTCCTGCCTAAGAAGTTTATTTTACAGCGGTCCCTTCAAAAACTTCTTAACAGGGTTCTATTGTATTTTAATTTTTATCTTAAAGGATTTTGAAAACTATTGAACTATTGAATTATTTTAGGTCTACTTTGAAATTCATATAAATAAAATTTTAAGTGAGAAACAAATACAGGTCCCTTGTATAACATGGTAGTTATGTTCTGAAAAGGTGCTGTGTTATGTGAATTTGTGTTATATGAAACAAAGGACTAATGTAAAACATAGAGTTATGTTCCAGGAGTTAGCAAAAGTATACTATTCTTTTTTGTTACTAAGAGAAATATGTTTATTAAAGCAATCAGTACTTTATTTCCAATCAATAATTAACTAACAATCACAATTAAAAGCACTGTTAATACTAATTTTAGTTAATAAAGGTGTTTCTTTTTACAAAGTATTGTCGTCATCTGAGCTTTTTTTTTTTTTTTGATCTTGATCAGAAGTATCAGCAACATTTTCATATTTTTTTATTTTTATCATAAAAAACTTTTATGGATGACGAAATAAAAATATGTTATTAATCGAAAATTTGTTATAGCGGATTGCGTTTGTTCAGTCGAGTACCGAGCGACTTTTTTCCCCCAGAATTTGAGTTCGAATACCGAGATATCGCTGTATTTCATTCGTCATTTTACGAATGATTGCTTACCTACAGTTCAAAATAGTTTAATAGCACTTATCTAAAAATGTTTAAATAAACTTTACTAAATACGAAGATTAATCTATAAAAAAGAAAACACAGTGGTAAAGGCTAAAGTTTAAAAGTAACAACGACTCCTAGATGATAGGAAAGTTAGTGGGATTTTTTTCTCCCCTGTCCTATCAGTTTTTACTAAAGTAACCTGACTAAAAGCACAAAATAAGCTGAAAATTTCAATATTCTAAAATCCATAGCCAAATTTGAGACGACACGCCGTGATTGCTTAAATTAAAAAATATCGAATAACGAAGTTTACACTTAAAATTTGTGAAATTTTGTATAGAGGATTTTCAAACCGTGTTAGAACGAAACCGTGTTGTAGAACTATCGTGTTGTATGAGGGATACCTGTAATTTAATTGATTTCAAATCTGTAATGATATTAATATTCAATAAATACAATAACTGTTTTAATTATTAGAAACCTTAAACAAAAGTAAATTTATGTTTTAAATATTAATTTCAAAATATATGAAATATATGCATAAAATTACGAAGATCAAGATAAAAATTGGGATTGTTTTGTTATCAAAGACTAATAGGTTGTGTCATAAATAATAGACTCACAATTTTACATTTCAAAAATATTTAAAATTACACAAATTATCATTGAAGCAAACGTCTTATCTTAACATAAAAAATTACAATATCAATTATTAATATTAAAATCATAACAATGTAGATATTTATTTTTGTCTTCTAAATAAAAAAAGCGAGCAACGAGTCGCTCAACTTTTCCAGCAATATATAAAATTTTGATGGCACCATCTGTTATCATATTTTATTTCAAAACTTTTTATATTTTTATCTATTATAAAACGGCAAATAGCGTAACTTTTAGGGTGGAATTGAGTTTTATAAAAAAATTGTCAATGCTAATAACGAGTAAAATCATTAAGTCTGGCCCTACTGGAAATACATACGACCCCATTATCTCCTCTCCCCCTCGGCCTTTAAACACTAAAATTTAAAAGCATCAATACCCCTAATAACCAATCCTTCCTGAAAAATTTCACAAATTTTCTACAAAAAGCAAAGGAGTTATTAATTAATCATCAAACAGGATGAACAAAATTATGCCCACACACACTACGTTCCATATATACAGAAATTACCTTCGAATGTTTTTGCACTTCTTGACGTTTCAAGATGTCCTAACTCCAAAAATGAAAAATCTGGGAGGGAATCAACAAACTTTTCCTCTGTTATGACAGCCGGAAAAGGTGTAATAATAATAACTTTCTGTAGTATCTCTGGAAAAGTCGGAAGTGCGGGGAAAATCCTGTTTACTATATTATCTTAAATATTTATTTAAATCGAAAAAAATTATTATTTGTTTCAATAATATAGTTAAAATTTTATTAACTGTTCTATTCAAACATTACAGAAAAATTAAAAGTTAAATTATTGATATATTAATTAATAGCGACTTGTCACGTAAAAATTGTTCGAATATTTTTATTTAATTCTTCTCCAATTTTTATTATTATTAAATGTTATTTATCTAGGGCAACAAGCAAGTCTTGTCAACTGCATTCCAAATAACGTTTAATTGTTGTTTTTAAAATCTCATTGATTTTCCATCTAATTATACACATTTATTAATAATTCTTGATAATTGAATCCTTTCAAATTATTATTAAATAATTTTATCGTAAAGTTAAATGAATTATCTTAAACAAAAGAAATTTGCATATTCGTTGCCAGTGGTAAGTAATTAAAATAAAATATTAAAATGCTGTTATAAATTAGCGTTATACTCGGAAATAAATGGATTTTGATACTAAAAATTTCGTGCGTTTCGTCAAAAATATGTAAAGATAGTAGCTTTATTCTTCAGAAGGATTAAATCTCGATGTGGTCTTTAAAACTAACTAAAGAAAAAGGAAAAATGGACAGACTGCTTTGTTTTAATATTGATTTAAAAGTTTTTCATACTTTTTTTTTGGTTAATTTATTTTCTTGTTTCTACATTAATTTTACAAAAAACATCTTAAGCAGTATACAATTTAATTTAAAACAAATTTAAAAACCTTTAAGACGTTTTAAACTATAGTATCAAAATAGAATAGAATTCCAATTCCTTTTTATGTTATACGTCTTTTAACGGAAGACTTGAGAATGTCTTGTATACGAGATATATTTTTAACATAATATTTTTAAAAAGATTTCTCGTATTATCATCTTTCACAGCTATTTTTAATTCATTTTTACTTCTTAATGTTTTCGCATAATGCGTTTTATTAACTCATGAAAAATTCCCAATTTTTAAAAAATTAATAGAAATATTTAAAATAAACATACTTATTTAAAAATCTCTGTTTTAATTAAGTTGAATTATATTCAAAAAAATATGAGTTTAGGTACAGTACGTTAACATTCACAAATTATTCGCATAATGTATTTAAAATAAAAATATATTTATCTTGTATTAAAACTAATAATATTTTATATAT